TTAAGCAGACATAGGTTATGGGAAGCATGTTTACCTCATGGACACGTTTGGATTTTGAATGATGGGGAGGGTTTGGGGTTGGCTACTTGTTTTTTTACTCACGCCTAATATGTTGATCTGTTTGCTTTCAAATTAGTGCCAGGCTCAGTGCCAAACACACAGAATATCCAAGTATATCTCAACTTACAGATCTCTAGTACACTGGAAATGTAAGCTGGTGTCATAGAATTTGTATTTGTCTTGGGGAATCACTTGCCTGGATGCCCTCCTTTTTTGGTGAGTTCATTGTGCTCTTGTCAAACACAGCTCCACACTTAAATCCCTGAAGTTCACTCGTGGGCCAGAAGCTTAGATCTTTGTATCATGTCCCAGATACACAGTTCAAAACACAAGTATTCAGATCAGAGCTGATGTTCATTCAGTTGGCGCAAACATGCTGCGTGTCAGGAAAATACACCCCTCATAGATCTTTGGTACTCAGCAAGGCAAAAGGAAGAGGGACTGCAAGCTCTTTCATTTCTGTGGGAGGCTAAGGACATTCAGGAAAAGAGTGATTTGCATAAGTGGTAATTTCTTCTCAGTAAGTACTTTGGTGCCAACTGCGAGGGCTCATGTGACACTACAGATGTTCCAGTGTGGTCGCTTAGTCATGTCCCACTAATGACTGCTGTTATTTAAACAACAGTAAGTTCAATGATGTAGTACATAGAATTTCATATGGCTGAGCAAATTGCTGAGGTGAATTTTGCCTACGTGGACGTGGGAGAAGTTTCGTGAGCTTTCAGAGATGCAAAAGAGTGAAATGTTCTCTTCACCTGTGTTAGCAGGGTCAGCTGAGAGATGCTTGTATCAAAAGAACAATTGGAAAAACTGAGGTACAGGCTTTGCTTCCCTGGCAGAAGTAGGAAGATACTGGGTCTTAGCCCAGCTGCAGGGAGGACTGCTTAGAATGTAATTCCATCTGGGTTGTTTAAAGTACAGAGATAGCATTGCAACAAATAATATTCTCCCTACTTTGAGGGAAATTTATGTGAAATATTTTCCTTCTTTGCAAGCTTCATTCAGCAAAATTCAAAATATTTGCTTCAGCTTGCTAAGAGGCAAGCTGGGCACTTGTTTTGTTCTAGTTTTATTACTATATCTACCTTCAGCCCAATCATTTTGACGGCTGTTTAGGTGAGGGTTAGCACTTTTAAATCATCAATATTTTAAGAATAAGACAGACAATGACACGTTTGAATATTAAGGCCAGGATCCCCTAAGCTTTTAGTGCAGATCAGATTGACTTGTGAGATTGCATTCAAAGATCACAGGAGCAACTCCTCCCCAGTACATGGATAAAAGGGACCAAAACATAATATGGGTCTGTTACATGACCTGGCAGGTATGGACACAACCATTGTGTGACCAGACTGTTTTTAGATCTTTAACACCAGCTTGCTAATAACATTATTAGCAAAGAAGGGATGTGGTGCCATCAAGTGAGCCAACCTCAGAAGCAGTGCATTCACAAAAATGCATGCCTTTCATCCTACTGCTTTTTCACATCCAAGGTATGACTAAAAAAAAAAAGGTTGCAAGACCAGATTGGAATCTGAATAATTTTTTTCTGTTGTCTGTATTGGTGTTAATGACTACAGGATGTGCAACTCTGAATTTTAGTGATGGTATTATGAGCTGCTTTTGAGGTGATCTCATTGCTGTCATCTTCTAGAAGGATGACAATTTTTCTTGTCTTAATTAATATTTTTTGGCTTTATTGATTGAAGTAGTATAAACTGGCAACAGTATCAATGAAAGCCTTTCCTGCATGACTTCTTCACAGACCTGTGATGAATTATCACTTCTTAGTCTTTCAGAGTAGGTCTGATGCACACCAAAGAAGAACTACAGACTGGAGATAGTGGCTGTGGCTGGCTGGTCTCCTTTAGGGGGAATGAGGTGAGAGGTACCTGTAAGAGTTCCACACTTCCAGGGGAGAACATCTCTTGTGAAGCATTCACAGGGTGTGTGCACTGAGGGCAGGGTGTGGAAAAGTGCAGTGTACAGGCCTGGTCACCAACATGTGCAGAACAGGGAAAATCATTTCCCCGTTCATTACCCAGGCAGTGCTCCTGAACTGGCACAGCTTGCATTGTTATGCTAAGGAGAAAGGAAAGTTCACATTTGAAGATAAAATGGTCCTTTTATTTAAACAATCACACCGCTTATGTAACAGTTCTTTTAATGGTAAAGTACAGCTGGAGCCTGGAACATGTTGTTTACAGAAATGACACGTAATGGGGAACGATGCAAAGTGCAGTAAATGGTACTGAAGGCAGTAGGCAGGGAGAGAGACCGGAGGCTGGGAACAGCGAGGATGTGAGTGCTGCCTTCCTGAAAGCAGAAGGTTGGAACCAGGCTTTTGTAAAGCAAGGGCAATGGGCTCTGTAAAGGTCATCAGAGGACTGGCCTAACGAGCTGCCACAGGAAAGGCAAATGGTTCTTCTCAAAGCAAGGATGGGAGAGGGAGAGGGCCTGAGAGACAGGAGCTGGCACAGCACAAACAGTGACCACAGGGAGAATTTCAAGAACTGGCAAGGGTAGAGGGGACTGTGACTGTAAAGACTTGATGTGACAAGAAAGAGGAGGTGGAGAACACAGAAATTATGAGGCTCTGAAACTTTTCACAGTAAGTTTACTGTAACTGTATTTTCATGTATAGGAGAAAGGCTGCTGAGTAACATCGCTCTTCTTTCTCTTGAAATGGTAACCACTGACTAATACACACACATACAAAAATACACACACACTCACACCCACATAAACATGTAATTGCACAAAATTAGGAAAATTGCCTAACTTTCTTCTGAGATATTCAAGGTTTGACAAAGCAAGTTCTGACTCAATGTTATCTGAAACAGGGAGCGTGGCAGTCAAACGATAGCATCTGCACTCCAGCATGTTCATTTTCCTTCTTTCCTTGAGACAGTTCATGACTTTTGTATGTGTCATGGCAAAAAATAGAGCTAAAGTGTCATTCTTTAATAATATGTTGAACCAATTTGTTCAATTTGGAGTAAAAAAAATTGGACTTACAAACTGTTTGTTGTTTACAGCAAGCTCAAGGTTCATACTTAGACATTACATGAATGATGAAACAAAGTTGTAAATATTTATTACTTGGTGGAATCATATTTTTTTTTAAAAGCATATCTTTGTACACAAAGCATTTGTAAATCCCCATTAGTGGTTTTTATGTTCCCACATAAAAATTCCTCGTTTGCAGCCAACAAAGTATCTTAGGCTTAGATCTTCCTCCTACATGTAGTGGAATCACAATGCTGTCACAGACATCACAACCAGTTTTGTAAAATATGATGTTAAGGAAGACTGAGTTCATTGTACTATACATATGTAAATGCCTCTCTTTCAATAGTCTCAAAGGAAAGAAGATGCCAGAAAGAATTCTAAACGAGCGTACATATTAATTGTCACCACTTTTCATGGGATAGTAAAGCACATTCTTACAAAGGAAAGCATTAAGAATCAAGGAGGCTGCACGGGGAAAGTGAGGGCATTTGAGTGAGACTTAAGGAAGTCACAAGGTAAATTATAATAATCTAATTGCAATCCAGAAAATCACTCTTTCCTTGTTTGTGTCTGTAATGAGGTAATGATGCAGCTCCTCTGGCTTCAGACAGCCACTACAGATTTACAGCAGGCTACAGAAGATCAGGCAGCACAAGTTCTTTGTTATTGCCGGACCCCGACAAGGGTGTCTGAGTTCAGAATAGCTCTTGGTGTAATTTGCAGCAGTGAATGTGTTGCTCCTCTGTAGCTCAAACTCCTTTCACTCTCAGAAGTGTAGGGAACTGGTTATCACAGAGCACAATTAATGAGTTGTTGATCCTCTGTGTTTATGTGCCTGCATGGAGGCTTTTCAAATCTGACTGTGGGTAAGAAATCCACAGTATGACTAAATAACTGGACTGAAAGTTTTGGAAGTAAATTATCTGGGCAGAAACAGCTACATGGATGTGCTTCTGAACAATAAAACTCCACTGAAAACCACTGTGTGCTTGAAGTAGGTGATCTCTCTCTTTGACTGGCATCTGCTCAGAGTTGAAATGATTAGAATTATGCACAAAATTAAATTTCCTGAATCAAAACAGGTAATGCACCAAATTCCCATCTACATACTATAATAAAGGGTTGCATATCAATGTCTGATAACTCCTACACAGCATGACTTGAAGGAGATTCCATTCCCAGTTCCACTGCTGTTCACTTAGGGACTTAGTTCTGCCTGTTGCTGAGGCACGGCTGTTCACAAGAAATGAAATGCTGCTTGCCTGTATAATTTCCCACTGTGCAGTCTTCGGTCATCCTGTGCTGTTTCTCTCTTCTTGAGGATGCTAAATGAGTTGATATTACCTTAATGAAAGCATTGAAAGGGTGGTTAGTGCTGTTAGACTCCATATTTAAAAGCATTTTTTGAAATCAAAGTGACTATCAGTAAAATATTCTCCTGTGGTTGTGGCTCCAATGACCAGTACAATGACTTAATTGGCATTCTTGTGCAGTGCTTGGATCTCTGCCAGTTAATGACCCATTGCTGCAGTCTGCAAATCACCTCCTCTGTCCCTCTCCTCAAGCTGATGGACTTTTGCCTAAGTAATGGCTGCAGGCTCCTATTCTCAGCTGGCACAGACCCCAGCACGACCATAAACATCCCTGAGAGGATCATAATATGATATATTGGACAGATTCTGATATGCCCTGCAGTAATATACCACCAGGCAATTCTGCTGAAGTCAGTGACTTTGCCAGTGGCATCACTGAAAGAAGAGACTGGTCCCTACACTGTTGCTTTCTCAAGTAACGAAGCACTTCCAGGCTCTCAGCTATTCTGTGTCCCTTTAGATGATGCAAGTTTTTGTGAGCCCTTTGTCAAACATTCAAAATAGGTTTTATGTTTGTTCTCTTTTTAAGTGGTTGCGTTGTCTCTTCTCCCACAGGATTTTCTATTCTTCAGGCGATTATGGAAGCAGCAGTACAGAACAACTGGCAAGTGACAGCCAGATCTGTAGGAAGCATAAAGGATGTTCAAGAGTTCAGAAGAATTATAGAGGAGATGGACAGACGACAAGAAAAAAGATACTTAATTGACTGTGAAGTAGACAGAATCAACACCATTTTGGAACAGGTATATGCTTTTCAGAAATTGTGATCTCTCTGTGACAGACATTGTTAATATTCCCAGAACTGTCTATTTCTAGAAATTAATTAAGTGTCCATTGAGATGTGAGTCCCAACAGCTGCCCAGTTACCTAGTAAAATTAAAATGCCACAGTGATGCTCATAGTTGGTGGCAGCACTTACGTGTAACCTACCACGAAATGTCTCTGTGATATTTTTTCCCAGATGTTAATAATGAATTATTTTTAAGTAGGTTGAGAACCTAAAACCTCAGCTGCCAGAGTAACATTATTGGCATTGAGGCTGCTTGTAGGGATTGCAAGACAGGTGCAGTTTGTTAAGTGGAACATGAAACAAGAAGTAAAAAGCCACTGAAGTATCATAGAATGATCTTAAAGAATTCCCGAAAGAAAATACTGCTAATGAAAAATTCAGCTGGTAGTCCAAATGACACATTAGCACTTTTTGGTACATAAAGCCCTTCCCTCTGCACAGCCAGTGCTGTTGACAGGCCTAAATTGCAAGTGATAGAGTCTAAACACCTTTATGCACCTTAAAGATGCATTTGAGGTGACTGTTTTGCTCTTGCGTGGCATTCCCAGTGTTTCCTTTGCCCCGGAGGAATGGCCATACCCTCTGGCCATCCCAGCAGGCTACCCAGAATGCCTGTGCCACTGGTTGTGCTGTGCAGTGTGCTTAAAGAGGTGTAGGAACAGATACAAATCATTGGGAACGGACACAGCTCAGTTGCCTGCTGCCTGGGCTCACAGCAGAGCTGGTGTTGGTGTGGAACCAAATCCATGCTGCTTGGTTATTCGTAGGCATTTGGGAATTCACTTACATTAGGACTGGAAAACCCTCTGATTATTGCCACTTCATAAATTTAACTGTGGGTTTATATTATGGAATAGATCAAAAGTAACATTTAAATTTCATGAAGCATTAGCATATCTCTTAGAAATGTTATATTGTAAACTACCAGCAAACTGACCTCACTGTAATAAACCCTGGGAAATACAAAAAATATATTCATTGAGTTCCTTCTCAAAGTATTCAGTTCCTGTCAAGCCTTGAGGTATATCACTGAGGGTCAGTCTGTGGGGGCAGCCAGATGCCAGAGCTGCTGCTTACAGAGAAAGGAAAGAGGTGCTCAAGAGAACACAGCACAAGGTGATGCTGGTCTGTAACTCTGACAACTGGTACGGTTGTGATATTAATATGCAGCACTGCATCGTACACTGTATTTTTAGGCAATATGGTGAGTGCTCTCTTTAGGGAAATTCGTACTGTAAAATGTAAGAAACATCTCTTCTTCTGCAAAAGATGCAAAACACCTACCCACAGCCCACTCTTCTGCAAACACTGTAGGAGAACACTCCTGAGCCAAGCTTACATGAGGGCCCACTCTCTGCTGAGAAACAGGCCTTTTGTTTGATCTAACTCCATTTACATTTGTTCTCTCTTTCTCTTCTATAATGCAAGTGAGAGAAAAAAATAATCAAACCTTTCCAGTGCCTGAAATGAAAGCTATATACCAAGCAAACCATATAGCAAAAAACTGGGGACTCTTTTCTTCTGCAGCTATTCTAAATTCAACTCTAGTGAAGTTGTAATTTTATTAAATGGATGATTCAGCTTTCTGTCAATGTGATTAGCATCTGAGTAAGTAGAAATTTGCTACTGGGGCCTCCAGGCTTCCCCAAATTCTACAGTACACACTGATGCCTCTGATGCTAAAAATATCTTCTGTTAACAATTTCTAGAGGTTTTTTTATTGCATACTGAAAAACAGTGACTTAAGTTTCTGCAGAGAAAGTCAGTAATGGCGGCCCCTAGGTTGATAGCTTAACAATTATTGGTTTTAGGCTTTTCCTTCCATCTCCTCTGCTTACTTTGTTATCTTCTCATAAAGTAGTTAAAAGTTTTCACACATATGTGTGGTACTTAAATCCATCCATCCAGCTTGCTCAAGGGAGTGGAGAGTTGTCTTTTTTTTAGCCAGTTGTGTTTGCTGATAGCATACCATTGAGGGGAGAGATAAATCTGGATTTGCATATTTCAAATCTAGCAGTTTATTGCAGTTTAAAAAGTCAATTCCATGGTGCTATGTGTGGAGTCTAGAAAGTCTGCTTAGCTGAGAGGCAGTAACATCAGAGCACATTTCCACATGCTGATGCACAATTGCAGCTGGGTTTGAAGAGCTTTCCTCCAGTGAGAGCAAAGGGAAGCCAAGACTCTCTACCTCTCTGTACTGATGTCAGAGAACTGATGGACAGACTGCCTCACAGAGGGTTAATGTGGGCTGCCTCAGCCAGCTGCCTTTCCATTCCTCTCCCTTTTTTGGCCTCCTAGGAGCACATCTTTAAGATCAACCCTCACATCACCTGGGAGTGATGCCTCCCTCCCGAGAGGGTGTTTACATGGTCACTTGGGACTGTATGACACCTGTCATTTCATTGTCTCTGGGACAACAGCAGCATTTGCCAGTGACCCTGAATTTCAGAGGCTTAAATAGAACTTATCCAAGAACAAAAGTCATAGCAGAAATAAACAGACTGTAAACCACTGAACAGTCTATACACGCACTGACTTTGCTATCAGACTTTTGGGCTCTTGGCCAAGCCATTCAGCAAGCTTGTCAGTTCTCTGCTCCAGAAACTGTGTATCATGGCTCTGTGTTAGTGCTTGGGTTAAATAGGAGTGACCTCTTTTCCTGTATCAGGCTGGTCAGTGTGTGCAGTTCTCTTCCTTTAATGCTTTTTTCAGCCGGTTCAGATAGGGGTATACCTCTCTTCCAAAAGTTCAGGCTTATCTAAAGACAATTACACATCTGAGGATTTTCTTCAGAGACTCCAGATTGTTCTGGAATATTCTGTACCTTCCTCCAGCGATGTACAGACATGTGAGTCAGTGACCTTGAGTATTCCATAGGCCTTTAGTACAGATGCTAAATCTGTATGTTCCTATGTTTCCGAGATCTGTAACCCATCATATGAAGTATTTCTCTCTTCAGAGCTGGCTGGTACCTGACCTTTCCCAGCTATAAATATAAGGTGGGGGAAGGAGGGCACCTCAGCTCCTGCTTTGCCTGAGTAACCTGTTTTGTGCCAAATTTCACTCTGCTGACACATCTGTTTTCATTCCCCATTCAGATTATTTTGTGATGGGCCTTATATTTTGTTCTAGAAGTGGAAACCCTGCTCAGATCTCTTCAGCTGCAGAGTAAGGGGAAGCAGAGGGATTAATAGTTATTCTGTAAGTTACCATCTGTTTGTTCACTTACCCTATAGTTCTATAACCACTGAGCATGTGGATCTATATCCTTCCTTGCACAACAAAACTATATCCAATTTAATCATCTAGTGGCCTCTCAAGCATACAGATAGCAACACTTATGTCATGCAAAATTCATAAGCTCCCCACACTTCTTGTCCCTTGATGCTAAAATATTCTGTATTCCTTCACAGATAGATACAAAATTTTGTTCTCATAAACAGAAGAACATTTTCTTCTGAGAGCTAACAGTAAGCTTTAGCCTGTTCAACCATGTATTTAGAGACATTTTTTTGAGTTAAGAAATATGTTTTTCTTATTCCCAGGATAATAAGCTGTATTTCAGACTAGAATGGCTTTATGTCCATTTAGAAGAAAATCCTGAGGGAAAATGAGGAGGGAGAAACTCCATTCAGGATCAAAATGGTGAAACTTTACAAAAGACCTGTTTGTTCCAAAGACTGCATGCTTTTATCAAAAGGACATTATCTCCAAACATAGTCATAAAGGTTAGGCTCCAAGGAAATATCTGTATCGAGTGAAGGCATCTCACAAAGCAGAAGCAATATTACAGTAGGGAATGCAGTCCCCAAAGTTTTACAATGACAGCCAGACTGTCAAAGACGACTTCAAGTGAAGCATCTGTAGGATTATGAAGGGTAATCTGATTGACTGAACTCTGTCCTGTGCAAGCACCGACTGTGACTTGACCTTCGAGTCTGAAATTTTGAGATTAGGAAGATGGTGTGCAGGTTCTCAGTACAGCCACAGCTGCATCTCTCTGCAGAGCTGCTCAGATCTCAGAGGAGTGTGCTCACTGCACAACAGCTTTCACATTGAGGGTGTCGTAAGAATAAACACAAAACTGTAGTATTCGGTTGACCAGTAGTCATTAAAAATAACAAGAAATAAGGAAAAATGTAATTGAAAAAAATCAACACCACTATCATGTAAACTTCTTGCTTTAAATGTTCGGTTATAAACAGTCTGGTGGGGGTTTGCCTGTGTTCTCTGCAGCAATTTAAAATATAACTGCCTACAAACACAGTGGGACACTTAAAGCAGGAGCAGAGCTATGAGTAGCTGTAGCTTCTGCTTGCTTTTGAACCCCAGTAATGCCATGTCATCTGAAGGTGGCACACCACAGAACACACCCTCCAGAGCAGTGCATCCCTGCCGCTTTCTCCAGGACTTGGTGCCATGGCCATGTCAGAGTCGGATTTTATCCTCTGTCTGAAGCTGTGTAGAGCAGAGAAGGGGGTTCAGCTGAGGCTCCAAGAGAGTATCTGCTATGTACAGTGTTGTGTAACATCACTCTGAAACTGGTACAGTTCATTTTTACATTTCCAATGAACTAGAAACTTAAAATTTAGGACATTTCTTCATTAGGTACCCATGAGTATTGTTGAAACCAGGATCTAAAGCAGAATGAAAGGTCACTTTTTTCTCTTCATATCCAGAAAGTTTCAGCAGCTCACAAGTCCATATGGGCATGTGGGGAGGAAAGGGGAAGTACTTAGGTCAGTCACCCTCAGGACTGTAGCCAGTGGAAGGGTAAGTTAAAAATAGGTATACGTCAAAAGTGACAGCTGTATCTGCCTTGAAGGGCCTGCTCCTGTCAGCTGTGAAACTCATAAAGGGCAGGAGATGGATTGGTAAAGCAGGGAAAAGTAGCATCTTGGGTTAATCTGCCCCACATATAGCACATTTCACACATACCTGAGAAGAGAATTT